CACGCACTTAGTGTCTTCCAAATATCAAAATATTGATAATTTTTAAACTTAAATGTTTATGATAATCGTTAATTAATTTAGAATTATATGAGATAAACTTGACTCTGTTAAAGTACACTTGAAACATAATGTTCACTCTAGTTTTTCAATTTTTCTATGAATTTAGCTAGTTATTGAAAGACTGATGGTGATATTGATATGATACCAAATTGTTCATACATCGAAACAGTTTATATATAACATTTCATTGAAATTTATAATTAATGTAGCGGCTTTGAATACTCGTAAACGGTTTTGATCTCTATTTCAACATTAATGTACATACCAAAAAAAATCAATTTACGTTTAAAACACTGGAAATGTTACTCGTTCAAATCGCCTTACAAAACAGTTAATTAATATAAATGAAATAATACCAGGTGCAATTAGTACCAATTTATTTTAATTAGAATTAAATAGATTTACGAGTCCGCGAACGATTGTCAATTTATATTTTACTATTAATACATAACGAAGAACTAGAGTTTTATCCAAAGTTTTATACCAGTATTACTCCGAATAATATACTGTAATCATCTATACTTTAATGTAAGTCAAAAGCACGTTTATATATCTTGTTCGAATTATTGTCGGTTTTCCTAACTTTAGTTGAAGTTCACTGGTTTAGTGACATAAAGTCTAGCAATTATATCAGTTTGTGATAAAACCGACTTTGTGATATATGCAGGCGTTAGTTTTGTTCGTTTCTCGAATTATATCAATGGAAAAAAAGTATAGAATATTGAGGTTGTAAAATTTTTGAGATGTTTTCGCGAACAATGTGATAATAACGTTACTTCGTGTGGTGAAAATGATATATTAGAAGTTGAGAACATAAGAAAATTATTTTGTAAGTTAACAGAATATAACGCACTATGTACTATATCAGGGGTGGCCAGCTACACTACCTTTGGAAGCCACATTTCAGGAAAGAATATTTGAAAGAGCCATTTATTTATCTTTGATAACAAAACAAACAATGAGAAACTGAAAAATCAGTTCAATTTTTTAATAATTGTTTTTCTTATTTGCATAAGAGCCGCGCTATGGCCACCCCTGTACTATATAGTTAAGATTTTCTATTCCTATGTAGTTGATAGTATCATTTTATAAATTTACATAATGATATTGAGAAATATGAAATTCTCAAATTAAAATGTTTTTAATGAAGAAACATTTAATATTTTTATAAAAATTAACCATCTAGCAATATTGTTATAATTATACGTGTTTTATACCAAATTGTAACGAGAAAAAAAAATTGTAAACGTATTGTGTAATTCTAAAGCTACATGTTAATACCAAATAAAGCAATATTATTTCATACATCGCATTTCACCTGTATTTCAGTGCGAAGGAATTCTACGACTTTTTTTTATGTATAACTTTATTTATAACAAATAAAGGTAAAGGTAAAACAAGTAACAAAAATATTATTCAACAACAACCGTGTACATAAAATATATTTTAATCCGTAAAAAAGTTGTATAAGAAGTAGTGTGTACCTCTTTGTAGTACTTGCTCATTGTGAGATTCTGCACGAGACTTTCTTGATATACTTTGTTATTTCATTGATGTTGAAACAATGTTAGTAGTGAAAGACATAGCATCCGTAGTAAAACCCTTATACCTATATAGTTTGAAATTTTTCGTTCATAATTTCTCTATACTCTTCTTGATCTTTTACCATTTTTCGAAAAACTCGATATTTCTTCATATGATAGCTTGAAAAAAAGAAAAAAAAATACGCTATAAATTTCAAAAATGACAAACAAAAATGGTGTAGAGCCTGGTCCACTTACTCGTAGCAATCACTCTTAGGTTTAACAATGTTTGCCGTTCCCCCCATTGTTTGGACAGCGTCGTACATTGTATTGAATTTCCCAGCTGCATAAGATCCGAGGATTGCAGCACCTATCAATACTGATTCCTTTTCAGTAGGACATAGCACAGGTAAATGTAATACATCCGCTTGTATCTGGATAAATAATGGATTCTGGCTTAAACCTCCACAAACTAATAAGGTTTCTATCCTATGGCCAGCAGCTTCCAATGTTTCCAAAATATGCTTTGTACCATACTGTTGAAAGACCTCAAAATTATTTCTTATCACAAAAAAATAGTCAAAACTTAAATAGCAGAAATATTCGTACCGTCAGTGCTTGTACTGTTGCTAAATATAACAACGCCAGATTCTCTTGATCAACGGTCAAAGAGAGGCCCGATATCTATACAATATTCAAGCAAAAGATTTATCAAAAAAAATTCAACAATAATGATTTAGTGTATAAAAATTATGTAGTGTAGTTACCATTCCTTTGAGAGTTGGATCGGCCAAAGGTGAGCGATTTCCATGAAAGTCAGGCCATACATGAATATCTTTCGTCAAATAAGAAACATTTTCTAAACCGTTTTCTTCAGTCATTGTTTGCAATAATTCAGATAAATATTGTTGTATGTGTCTAGAAGATCGTGTATCAATTAGTAAAAAAGTTTATAAATTTACAATATTTTTTCGAGAACTTACTTATTTCCGCTTAAACTTTTTAATATCCCTGGTGTCGCAGGGTGCGTATCAATTATGTGATCGAGTAGTTTTCCAGTTGCACTCTGTCCTCCTTCGCTCAACCATAAACCCGGAACCATGGCACTAAAATACGGTCCCCAAACACCACTGACAAAAAGTTTCTTCTCATTAACTATCATATGGCAAGTTGAAGTACCACAAATTAATGCTGTAAATTAAATGCAACATTGTTTAATTAACGAAGTACAGAGCATGTGAAAAATGGTGATGTATAATTATAGGGAAAATTACAAATACCTAATCTCCTCTGCAAATTATTAGACACACCAGGTACAGAACAGCCTATCATACCAAGCCCTCCAGCATGTGCATCAATAAGGGAAGTACCCACAGGTGTCCCTTTTAGAAGTCCCAATTCAGATGCAGCCTTTGCCGACAGTCCTTGGTTAACCGGATCGCCCGGAGTCCTCACATCATTACCTTCGTATCAATATTTCTTTTTGTTAAAATACAGTAATACTTTTCATATTATCTGTCTGAACATAAACTTCTTAACTTCTTAACTCGAAAGTTACGTGATGCAAAACAAAGTAATTTTTGCTTAACTTATCAAAAGCTTAATCTAGATCTAGATTTACCTATGTAGAAAGGACTTCGATAAAAATATAGAATTATTATCAGTACCTATCTTTCTCCAGTTATCCTTCTTAAGATCTTCCAAACAAATCTCCTCAAAAAATTCGTCGTTCCATCTATTATTACCGTCTGGACCAGCGTTATAGTTCCACTTACATACTAAAGAGCATAAAGATCTGAAATTAGATTAGAAAGTTGTATTACAATACTCAAGTTTTACATTAGCACACAATAGTATTGTTACCTTGATTCAGAACCTGTTGCTTTCCATGTTAAGAAATCAGGCAGATCAAATAGCAATGTTGCACGATTCCAGGATGAAGGGAGATTCATTTTGAGCCACAGCATTTTGGGAGTCTGCATTTCCAATGATATTTTTCCACCCACATACTGAAGCATTTCATGATCTAGTTCATTTATTAAATCCGTTTCCTTGTGTGCTCTGTGGTCCATCCATAATATAACATTCTGTTTGTCTGCACCTATGACACAGATTAATCTTAAAAAAAGAAATTTCATTCATGTAAATGAATAATTGTGATATAGTTGTATATATACCTGTTGGACTGACTGTGACAGGTGATCCTGTTTTATCTATTGCTACCAATGAACAAGTAGCATCAAAGCCAATACCTTTAACACTATCTGCAGAAATATCAGCTACAACAGACTATAGAGAAACAAAACAAAATTTTTATTTCTTTAACTGTACATGCCTGTGAATTTGATAGAATATCTACCTTGACCACATGGCAAACTGCACTCCAAATATTGTCAGATGATTGCTCATAAAAGTTAGGAGCAGGATGAAAAATTTCAAGAGGGCATGTTGCTAGTTTCACTATCTTTCCCTTTGAAGACACCAGAGCAGCTCGAGCACTTCCAGTTCCTACATCAACACCGACAAAGTAATCCATGTCTCATTCCTTGGAGCAGCCCGCAAATTTCCTATCTTATGCTAAGAGAATCCAACTGAATGCTCTACATCAACCAGAATCATTATGAACTGCAAATAAGAGTAGACACCCATTATCAGTGAGGTTTTACTGTAATCATAGGCTTATATTTTAATCTCTCATGACCCTGAGATAACTCTTGCAGCAATAAGAAACAGTTAAATAGTAACAACACAAGTAACAACTTATTGCTAAGCAGTTCTAGCTCTAATTTACATGTAGAAGGAGAAAAAAATTATGAAGAGAAAAGGAATTATTATTAATGAAATTATTTCAAACATATAACTTGAGATTACATTTGTAAAATATAAAATACAATACGTACAATATAGGAACGTTTGATCCATAAAAGTAACGTTGAAAACGAAGTACAACAATATTACGTAAGTAGGATAATACGTAGATCTACATATGAAAATACGTGTGCATATAAAATTCTAAGTGCGTTACCTTAATTAATTATACAGTCTCGCTGTTTCTTTCAGACGTTTTACGTAAAGTTCCATTAATGTTACGAGATATTAATTAAAAGAGAAAGCGCTAGTAACTAAAATGGTAACAATGTATCTGGAATGAAAAATAAAAAATCACATTGTTGGAAAACAGTATCGAAAATATCGTACACATTCTATACACGTGTGCAACTGTATTATTTGACAGCGACCTAGCGGAACCTCGCGTATTGAATAATCGAAAGTAATGCACGTGGTAATGTTTCTGATGTCACATATTCGTGAAAACGTATAATTTATTAGTAATCTGTTAATAAGAGATAGAAAATTATGAGTTGTATGTGTGTAATTAACGTGTAGTCTATTTTTGAATAATGTTTTCCAGAGAACTTTGTACTTGGACGTGTTGCATAACCTAAAACATGGTTCGTTTTAAAAACAGGTAATAAGATAATTATCACACACTTGATTATATTAATTTATTTATTTTAAACATTCAACGATACAGTTTTGGTGTTTGTTTATTATTTTTTTTACAATATATGTTATCTATAATTAATCGAAAGCATATTTGTAGATACATAACATTTGAAATAACTCTCGGTGATAAGTCTGATAGGCCATTCCCGTTAAAAACCACAGCATTATATTACGCTATACAGCAGAAAGTACAACAATTGTATGGAGATTTTGGTGCTGCTGCGATAAAAGCTGGTTTTTCGGGTAATATAAAATTTCAATTCTTGCAGTATCGGAAAAATGAAATTTTCGGCAAAGATTAAATTTTTTAATTATTAATTTTTCAGCAAAATATTGCAACGCACATACGAGGATAGCGTTAGTAAAAACTAGACATGGTCCTCATAATTTTTTACTGAAAGCTATCCCAACCATAAAAGACATAGCAGGACGTTCAGTGTCAGTAAAAATAATTTATGTGGGAGCAACTTTAAAACACTGTTTCTACTTTATTAAAGTAAGTAAAATTATTAAACAACATATTATTAATATTTCAAAAAGTAATTTCCAATTAAACAAAAATTTTTCAGAAATATCAACAACAAAAACTGGAAAAAGTATGGAATACTCTAAGAACCGAAAGAGAACGTAAAAACATGGAAAACGCCTTAATGACGTTAGTATCAGCTATGAAAGATTATACATGAAAAAGATTATGTGTACATATGTACAAATTTAATAAAACAATTTCCAAATAAGCCCAATTATCGCACGATTATATTCTACAAGCTTAACATAATGTGATAATAAATATTAATATATGTTTCGTAATTCCATTTGTTCCGTCATTCAATACGAAACGCGGGAATATTTTGAATTTTCAACCACCTATTTGGCGTTCTGAATGGGGCGTTTCGTTGTTTCGGCGCGTTCCAAGCGAGAAGGTTACCAGTCGATTGAGGGTGCGCGTAGGGGTCGTTGTTGGCCGTCGCCAGTTGTCGCTGGCTGTTGCTGGAGAGTCGATCGCGCCCGTTGCTCAGCCAAGGCGATGTTAAGACCCGTACGAATATAGTTGCCAGTCGATCCGCGAAGGTGCTCTCAAAGTGGTGTGATAGTCTAGTGCAGGCCAGTATGAACAGGCAGAGGCTGTAAGTCGTTGCATGAAGCTACACCGCGAGCCGTATCTCGTGATTTCGAATCAAATAGAATTCACACGCTGCATACACTATTGACGGTCGTCTAGTTCATTTCGAAAGAAACCGTTCCACTGTGAAAATCGCGATTCTAAAGTGAACCGGCGATACATCTTTACGAAACCGGCCCACTGTACGTTAGTAAATAAGTGTGCTACGCATAGAAAACGACGAAGAAGCGTCAACAAGAACACTAGGTACTCCTCTGGTCACCCGACGAGGATCTTGTGCTCGAGGTAAGAGAGGCAGTGCCCTTCTTGTATAGGTTATCGATTTCATTCCGCGACGTTCAAGGGGATGCTCCCGGAATCCGTTGATACTAATTCGTCCGGTTCTGGTTCTCGTCCCTTTGTTTGCGCCTTAACAGACTATCGGATCTCATTAAAAGATGCTTCTTCCTCGTCTGCTTGAATGGAACGATCGATTCGTAAAATCAGTCGCACCCTTTGTAGGCAGATATTATCTCTCATCACGAGTGAAATAACAAACGGGATATCGAGTGTGAAAGCAGTAATTATTTCGATACCAATTATCGTGTAGGCGGAGGTGTGTCATCTACCGCGATAAGTAGGATTAAGCGATACCACAATAGCGATTAAAACCATACGTGCTTCCTCTTTTGAACCTTAAGAACGTTTAAAGTACACAAAATCCTGTATATCAATAAAGAAGGTTATCAGATCTACAATTTGCAATAGTTCGAGTGGTTTGTTCGAAATTTACTTTCGGTTATCTTCGATGTATCATTCGAAACAAACAGGCATTAACGAGCGAAATATTTGCGAGACAAACGGTGGTAGAAATTCGAAACTGAGCTGAGTGTCTAAACAGAAATAGCGAACATCTACTAGGCTGATTCGTTGAGCATTTTATTTAGAAATCATTTACAAGCGTTGCGCAAACCTCTCGGAAGCTGTGCGAGCAGATGTCATTCCCGCTCTTAAGCATAGTCGGCCGGGACCCTGACTTTTTTTTTAATACTGTATACGCTCCCCGGATTACAATGCTGCTTCGGCAGAAATAATATCGCGGTCATGCTGTCGGCCGGGAGCCGAATTGTTTTCATCGGAGACGTAATGGTCGAGCATGTATAATCCGTGTAACCGATGGGGGACTCTTTTTGTGTTTCGACGGCTGTCGCGAAGGGGTCCTTCACCCGATTAGCTTTGATGTTCGGAGAACTATCGATTTGTCAATTAACCCGTGTCCACGGCTACGTTTGACTGGCTGCAACTGCATTTTCTGTCTTCTCGAATTTATCCACCTTTTAACCCCTCGCATTTGTATGTACGTATAGTGACGGGTGGGCTCACATATCAGTGAACAACGTGAAGTACACCGTTAGTCAAAAGATTTCGTAAAACGTAGACATTTGAAAAAATTGTATCGTTCCTTTTATTAAATTTCTCAATTCTAGCAAATACGTTCAATATTTTCGCTTAAATCTGTTTGGACACTAACATTCATAGAGTGGTATATTTTTGTCGTTGGAAAGGTTATCCCAAGGAGGGCCAATGTTTTCGAATCGTTTCATAGTCGACGACATCTAACACCATAGATTCAAGTCTTTAGTCGTGAACATACTTATAGAGCATTGATCTGTTTCACAGAGATAGTTAACGATGGTGAAATTGTTCCGAGGAAGATATCGTTCGTGCAAGACCTGAAAATACCATGTTTCCGCGTGCAAGAATAATTCTATGATCTTTATGGAGGCTACTCGTTAGACTAAGTTTACACAGTAGGACGTGCCTGTCTGCGGAAAGGGTAGATAAGCCTGTGTAATCGTCAGCGATAGAGTCCTCTGAAACAACTTAATATAACTTGCTTTTCCACCAAACGAACACGGAAATGAAACATTCACATCAAACGTACAACTTCTGTGCATTTTTAACGTATAGGTTATGTCATATTTAATCTCACACAGTATAGGGAATACAGGAGAAAGTAAACACACATTTAAGGTGTGTAGCGAAGATAGATTTTACGATTAAAAAGCTGGCAGTTGGTTGAATGTAAATATTCGAATTTTAAAATGCGCGCCAATTCGTTTGAAATAGGATTGTAGTTACACGATCACGTTCATAGGATATTTAATATGCTTGATGTTTTTTCACCATTTATTACATAAACCCCGGGGCCTTTCGCAATGCATTGCAAGTAGGGCATAAGGATGACTGTTACGTAATCCTCATGAAAGCGAAGTTATTTGCAGATTATATCGTTTATTTCGACGCCGGTTTGAGGCCGACGAAATATAACGAGGGACATACCTTGTTCTCAGTCGAGCGAGCCCTTAATTATTCTACTTTTTAGCATGCCCGTTTAAATCGAGTATCAGAGGAATATACGTATATACAAGGTGTTCAAAAAACTTGTGTGAACATAACCTTACTTAACTAATAGTTAAAAAAATTACCGATTTCTCTTCGACGAAGCATAGAGATCACCGTTGGAATAATGTAATTTATCGTTTTAACCTCTCTTTTGTACAGGATGTTGTAATTATCCTATTAATGATATAGAATTATTTTTCTTTTTTTTCTCTTAAACTGTTCGTCCTGGAAAACAAATTCCACGCGTGTGTGAAAGAATGACTTTCGTGATAATCTATTTTGAGAGCGTAAATCATTCACAGTGGTGAATAAGTGGGGCAAAAATAAGACGACGTAGCGCAAAAAGTAAGCAACGAGCTGAATGCCGAAATTGCTTTCCACTTTCAGCGACGCGCGACGCTCCATCGCTCCTCTCGCGGCGTGGACCAATTGTATTACGTAAATCAATTAAATCACCTCTCCTCTTCTACCGTCTCCTCGCTGCAACATCTTTGTTTTTTTGTTTCTCCCTTCGCCATTTTTGACCGTTACGCGAAAAAGAAAAAGAACAATGACACACTTTCTACGGCATCGTTACACTGTTGCCGAACACTTTTTCTCGTTTTAAATACTTATATCACTTTCGTTACAGCTAAATTTTTTTTATTATTTACACATGTCAATTTTTTTGTGTTTTTCTTTTTCTCGCATACTTCTACACTTTCGATTTACAAATGGTAATTTATCGACACGTACTCTTCGTTCTCAATTGTCGGTAATTTTTTTTTTATCTCCAAACTTGATCTCGCGATGATTTTCTTTTCCTCACTGACTTGCCGCGTTCAAACAGACGTTGAATCTCAACTGTAAGAAGCGCGAAATCGATTCGAAACGGTGTTCCCATTGATGCAGCAGGATCCAATCTCTTAACGGAAGGCTCGCATAGAGTAAAAGGTGCTCGGCGGTAAAAGTGGAACTTTCCTTCTTTCTTTCTCTTCTTCTTTCCCTCCGTTCTGGTCGGCCGTGGGGCGTATAAACGATACTTTGTTTAATGTTTACGCCGGACAGGAATAATTTACGGGTCGACGGTGCGCACGCCTGTCGTGGAAACAGCGGTGCCTTCCTCCGTGCTTTTAGCTCGCGTGGGACCAGCGATCGTTCCTTCCACGAACAGATAAACCCTTTTATGCTCCATGAATCTCTCCGTGCACGTGTTGACACTAATTGCTGATTAGAATGTTTAGCCGTTTCTTTCACGTGCGGTTTAATTTAATATTCTTCCCGGTGATGATTTCCGCCACGGAAACGGATATTCGTTAGATCTTCGTTAGATCTTCGTTAAATCTATAGTTACCACCGATGATTTATTTTTCTTACCCTTTGAGCAAGATTAATTAACCAGCCATTTATGTAGATTTGATTGCAGAAAGAATTCTAATCTAGTTTCGTAATATTTTCTTTCGTCGAATTCACGAGCAATTGTATAAGATTTTCTTTCGTTGATCTACAGGGTGTTCCATATGTATACTCGTTAACAATTTAACATTCTTCTCGCTAATGATCGTAAAATGTGTATCTACGGTTTTTATGGATTGAAAAATTGAACACTTCCGCAGATTCCCACCGTTCTCATGCTCGACCTTCGTTTCCCTATCCCGTATATCAGCGACGGGGTGATCGTAAAGTTTCAATTCGAACGTCGCGAATAAATCACGAGCGCGGCGAGCTTGGCAAATGGTACGTGGTGCATGGAGAATCACTATACTCTTACAAGCTACAATCGTCTCGTTATTTTTCCTATCTTAACCTATTTACATTGTTCGAAAAAAAAAGATGAAAAAAGGAAAAATAGCTTCCTTAATACGAAATTATAGTAATCTTCAATTACACACAATATGAACGCGCATGTATATACACGCTTCCATGATAGTGACCAGGAAAATTACGCGTGTGTATACGCTAACGATACAAATGAGTTAACCTAACCTAACTTAACCTCAATTTTCATCGTAAAGATAAAATATAATTTGCAAACACGACGGTGAAATGTTCGAAGAAAACCAGTACGAAAATGGTAGTAGAATCACTATGCTTACTTACCCTAAAAGGATACACATTATGCGTGCATTATTAACATCGTTTATGGTAACGTTCACGAAGGGATAGTTTAAGGCTAATTCAGCCACGTTGCTGGTGTGCACGCGCGCGGGGGCATAAATTGTGACGGATACGTCGCTTCTCGAACG